TCAAAATATGTAATTGTATCAGACACAATTCGGGATCTTGTACCTGTTGGAACACTTCACAAAGGCCTTGAATGTAGGAACGCTGAGTAAGAAACCTTCAACAAGAGTTATGTGACGCACTTTGAGTGAGTGAATTTAGTTTTACGCCGCACTCAGCAAGATTCCAGCTCTTTTGCGGCAGTATGTAAATATTCGAGTCTGTATCAGACAATCCATTGATCAAAAGCATGAGCATCGATCTACAGATACGATGACATTTGTCAACCAAGTCAGCGAGTTACTCCGTTAGTCACCTATCAGGCATACCTACATCAGGAAATGTAACTGCAATATACTTCTGAATTAAAATTTCAGTGTCTACTAGTTAAACTTAAAAATGCTACAAACTTCAACTTACAAACATGAGGCTTTCAACGTATTCTCACCTCATTTTGTCTGCAACAACACTGGCTGCCGTCAAGTTGGCTGAGATAACGACAGTCAAGCCGATTATATACCAATGCAACGTAACACATTAGATACCTTAATGCCTAGTTGTCTGCACTGCAAAATGTCCAGGTCAGATTGTGTGACTAAACCTTGACAGACATTGTTTACGCCAGCTGAACGTCTGAGACGTGATTACGTTTCTGATAGCCATTAAGTAGGGACCAGACAATCAAGGGATCAACCGTATGTATGTCTACGCAATTGGGATACGATGACATGTGTCAACCCAGTCAGCGAGCCTGACTAACGGATCCCGTCAGTCGCCTTGTACTTGAGTGAGTGAGTTTAGTTTTATGCTGCTTTTAGCAATATTCCAGCAGTCTCATGGCGTGGCCCACCAGAAATAGGCTACATACCTTTTACCCATCAAGCAAACCGGAATTGGGATACGATGACATGAGCTTACAAAGTTTAAGACTGCTTTGCCATCACCTTCACTTCGTATTGGCGACACAGACATCCTACCATCAGAAAGTGCCAGGAATCTTGGTGTCATCCTCGACTCCAGCATGTCCATGGATGCACACATCACCTCCATCAGTAGAGCCTGCTACTACATCAATAATATCAGCAAAGTCCGCCACTACCTTGATACTGACACTTTTGACAGACCGTCTTGTCAAACTCGACTACTGTAAATCACTCTATGCCAACCCCTCTACTAAATAACTCAAGAAAATACAAAGAATCCAAAATTCTGCTGCCAGATGTATCACCCACCCTCATCGTCATGACCATATCACGGTATCATGGTGGGGGACACCAGAAAAGGGCTTCACATATTCTGCCCATGTGGGGAATCGAAAACGTGTCTTATGTGCAAACAGAAACTTGAGTCTCATTAACCAATTGAGCCGATCCGACTGTTCTCGCTTGAAAGTGAAAAGAGACACTACAAAGAACTATGGTTACGCTAAATTCTAATTCCTTGTTTCACTAGAAAATGGGATATACAAATTAATTTTAATTTTAAAATTTTAAATGATCGTATTTCTATATTTTATGTCAAGGTTTAAGCAGCATGTCGTTAACTAAGACGTCATAGATTGCCACTGTTTGAAGAGGTCGTACAGTGATTCACAATTCATTTTGCTCCCGGTTACACCTGTTGTGTTCTTTGCGCTTATTAAGAGTATGTTTTTGTAACGTACAATGTGATTGATGTAATATGAAAACTGAACTACACCGCCAAACTTTTCTAGCGGCCGAAACTCGTTTTGAGATTTCCACGATTTCCAGATTTCCGTTTGTCAGAGCACGCTGTACGATAAAGCACACTTCACGACATGTTTGCAAGGATTAGAAGGAGCGCAGTGTTGCAATATGCAAGTGATTGGATGTATCAAATAATACTGATTAATATTTATATATCCAGTTGAATGAGCTGGTCTCTAAATTCTGGACTGGTTATGGTACTAAGACGCGCAGTCAGCAGGAAACGAGACTGTTATGCAATCAACCACAAGAACTACCCCACCGCTCCACATGAACTGTATTCTATTATATCAATATCTTAACTACTGTATCACAAAAGTGGACTAATATTCCCTTATGACTTGATTTTCATTCACTTCATGAAAATGTTTATGTTTTCATATAGTCATTCATGTATTTCGTCTTTGTAGTTCAGAGACTGAGTGCGTTTGAACACACAACAAGTTCCAAGTTGGAAAAGACTCAGTTTGCCAAAAACTCCCTTAGACTATTCATGCTTTGTCTCACCAACGCTAACAAGTTTATGGTTGGTTGGTTCTTCTTTAACGTCACACTCAGCAATATTCCGGCTGTATGGCGGCGATCTGTAAATATGAGCCAGGACCAGACAATCCAGTGAGCATCAATCTAGGTAACTGATATATGATGACATGTGTTAGCCAAGTCAGCGAGCCTGACCTCCCGATCCATTTAGTCGCCTCTTATGAAATGCATGGGTTATTGAAGATCAATTCTAACCCGGAACTTCAAGGGTAACAAATTTATGACTTCAAAGACAATTGAAGAGCAATTAATCGATTTACGGATTTCATAATAATAAGACCGTTCAAGAAACATCATGGCGAAACGTTTTGCATCTCATTCTGTCGAAGATTGAATGCTGGTTTTAAAGATATGCAAAATACAGAGTTCCTAAGGGTAATAGATTCGCCACACGGTTGCGCCTCAGGAAATATGGAATTTACAAGTGTCTTACTATTAGTTACACACGAATTTATTACCCTTAAGATCTTTATATTTAGCTTATCTTTAAACAACAACATTCAATCATCGGCAGGATGAGACGCAAAACGTTTCGCCATGCTTTTCCTGAACGGTCATGAAGGGAGATAACTCGTGGTTGTTTAGTTTATGATAAAATTATCGAATTTGAGGTTTTGTTAACAGACAAATGAAATACAGAAACACTAATTTTCATTTCTTGGATATATTTATTGACACAAACAGATAAGATTTTTATTACTATTTTTTTTACTCATATTGACATAATTGTATACGCCAACTCTAAAATTTCGAAGCGATCAGACGTTTGGCAGCCACATTCCATCTAAGGTCAAGGTCATTCGTACAACCCGTGTAGTGTGTCACGTGACAGATTTGACGATGTGTACGGTTCGTGCACCCTGGCAAATCGGCCTACATGGTTTGGTATGCTTTGGCTATTGACCAATCAGAATTCGACAAGTTTATCTTAAGGGTAATAAAGTCTTGTACACACTTTCAAAACACCGTGCAACTAATAGTATTACCGTCGAGAAAAGCATACATCTTGGCATGCTATTACAGATTACACACGAACATGTTAATTGTCACAATATCGGCTTGACAACTAACTATCTTTACCTGAATACTTGGTATATTTTATCAACAATGGTGGTCACATCATTCTTCAATTTCTTTATTCTTGGTTCACGCTGTCATGCGATCCGTTATGAACGACACGATTGGTTATTTGTACTTGATCGTGGAACTTCTTTAAAAATATTCAGGTTTGGATACGAGGTGATGCGAGTCGATACGTACTGATATGATTTGTTGTGCTTGGATGCGATATGGTCACGACTGGTTATTTATAGGTGACTCTATCTTTCATGATCTGGTCGCCCGTTCACATATGATCACATGCGTTGTGATAGGATTAACCAATCGAGTCCACGATTGGGTCGCGAACTTACACGATCATCACGATCGGGGGTGATGCCGATTTGAGCTGCGGTTGGACCCCGACGGGTATTTACAGCCAGGACTCATCATGGACTCCATTGTTTCTACAGAGTGAATGCTACAACCCACGACCATTGATGATGGCAGGCGTTGAGGATGATGACAACGTGACATTTGCAGTATTAAAGTATGCTTACATTATCGCCAGAGAGGAAGAAGACGAGCAGCAGCAGCCAGACCAGCTACAACTCCAACCACAAAGAGCCAGGATAGCTGCAGTCGGGCACTTCTGGGTGCGACTATGGCTCACAGAGCAGAGGGGACAACAGTTTGGTCAGTTCAACCTTCTAGACACCGGTTTGAGGATGGAGGGCCGCGTAGTGTTCCAAAACTACACAAAGTTAACACCACAGCTCTTCGATGAAATCTTGCAGAGGGTGGCCCCAGCAATCTATAGGGAAGTCACCAGTTTCAGGTAACTGCCTCATTCTGCAGTATCCCAGCTATATGACAAGGGTCTCTAAATAGTCAGTGACGCTGGACAAGACAATCTACTGATTAATATGGTGAGTGAGTGAGTGAGTGTGGTTTTATGCCGCTTCTAGCAATATTCCAGCAATATCACAGCCGGGGACACCAGAAATGGGCTTCACACATTGTACCCATGTGGGGAATCGAACCCGGGTCTTCGGCGTGAAGAGCGGACGCTTTAACCATTAGGGTAGTCATCGCCCGATTAATATAGTGAGAAACGCCCAAAGCAGAAGGTAGATAACATGCCATCGACCACCAAACCATGTCTAACTATCCGATCCAGTAAGACACCTCTTATGTTGCTATTCTATGAAGCTACTTCAACCTGGATTCCTGAGACAAGGTTATGTTGCTGGGACCTGTTTACTTCAGAATTCCCATGACGTGTATATGTTGCTTGAGACCTATTCTAACCCAGAATGCCCAAGACCAGGATGTGTTATGGGGGATATATCCCCCCTCCTACCAGAATCAACACTGAAATAAATGTGTACAGTGTAAATATGTTTTATTTACAAAATGATACAAAACACATAACATATTCACACTTTTTAACACAGCACCAGTTAAACCTGTCATAAACCTGCATGACAAGGACAAGCTGGAGTCTGTGCCTGACAAATCAGTGAATGATATACTGAGGAACATCCACTACAAACTGCCTCCATGGTGGAGCATCTCTACAAGTACATACTGGAGAAAATACTGGAAAAATACTAAAGATGTTAAAAAATGGTGTGTTTTGTTGGCCAGCGTGGTTCTCTCACCAGTTGTCAGTCAATACCAAAGATGTTAAGAGCATCTCAGAGCATCTCTCCAGCATGTCCGTGGTTCAATACCAAAGATGTTAAAGAATGGTGCGTTTTGTTGGCCAGTCTAGTGGTCAGAGCATCTCTCACCAGCATGTCCGTGGTTCAATACCAAAGATGTTAAAGAATGGTGCGTTTTGTTGGCCAGTCTAGTGGTCAGAGCATCTCTCACCAGCATGTCCGTGGTTCAATACCAAAGATGTTAAAGAATGGTGCGTTTTGTTGGCCAGTCTAGTGGTCAGAGCATCTCTCACCAGCATGTCCGTGGTTCAATACCAAAGATGTTAAAGAATGGTGCGTTTTGTTGGCCAGTCTAGTGGTCAGAGCATCTCTCACCAGCATGTCCGTGGTTCAATACCAAAGATGTTAAAGAATGGTGCGTTTTGTTGGCCAGTCTAGTGGTCAGCATTTAGAAGATGAAGCAATGACTGGTTGGCTAGGACTCAGTGGTCTCACTAAGGACTGAAAACCAGCAATGGTTCTGGCTAGGCCAAGCAGCTACATAGAGCGTCTTCAGGTACCATGAGATGAGAGGTGGTGTGGTAGCCCAGTGGTTCAAACGTTCACTTGTGCTGAAGACCTGGGTCAATTTCCCACATGGGTACAACGTGTGCAACCCATTTCTGGTGTACCCCCGCAGTGATATTGCTGGAATATTGCAAAAAGTGGCATAAAACTAAAACTTACTCACTCACCATGATCCAAATTAAGTGAGTCTTAATTACGTGTGTATTTGAGACTTGTTTTGAGTCATTATCCAGGACACAGAATAGGATTTGAGGCACATAGCCATTGATACGATGAATGAACCAGCCAAATTTATACCTCTAGAGAACCACAAATTCTTTACTAAATTAATGATATATTTACTTAGTCGAAACTATAAATTAATTATTTGCATAAAGAAGAGTTATTTATATTTATGTGCACATATACCAACAAAGTGAGTGAGTGAGTTTAGTTATATGCCGCTTTTAGCAATATTCCAGCATTAACCGACGGGGGACACCAGAAATGGGCTTCACACATAGTGCCCATGTGTGGAATCAAACCCAGACCTTCAGCATGTCGAGGGATCGCTTTAACCATTGGGCTACACCATGTCCACAAAGAACTGCTGACTGGTGTTCATGAAACACTGTCTGTAGGCTGAGAGGCCATCTTACTGTCCTTGACCTTGCTCCTGGTTCTTCTTTTAACATGTCGCAGGAGAATCAAGATGGCCGCTGGGGTCATTCCTGGTATTCGACTAGCAGCTGCAATCTGGAATATTTTTGATGGCCCATTTAAAGTCTATTATAAACTGACATATTGTAGTGACTGATGGGTATGAAGCTTTAGGAATATTCCTGTTTATTGTCATTCACCAAAGGTTTGGTGAAATACGCAACTGCTTTCAATGGTCTAGTGAATAGGGCATCTGCCTGGTAGTTTGATTTACTGGTAGCATCTTACCAAAAGGAATTAAATTGAGGTACTTAATGTTACCCTGCCTGGTGCTAGCTGTAATGGGATAAAACAAACACTGGTCAGCTCCTCATTACGTGACTAAAGGGGCTCCTTTACAATTTAAATAGAATGTGTTTCTATCCAAATAATATATTTGCAGAGACTAAGCTTTAGTCTAGGATTTGCTGTAGACTTACAGTAGCTGGCCGTGCATCTGCTAGTTTACTCTTGGCATCTGTTGAAATGCACAAACTGAAACAGTAGATGAAACATACGTGGTCACAGTTGAACACCTGAGACAGGTTTACACCTTTGGAACCGACACACACCATTGCAATATTCGGTGAATTTTGTTAACAATAAATGAATAAATCGTTATAAATGTGTAATCACTATGTCACTTTGGTCACATTTGGAGAGACAACAGCAGGACAAAGAAGAATGATGATAAATTTATGGATATGCTGCAACTTCCTTATTCTGTGAAAGGCAACATTTTGTCCCTTGCCTGACAATGACATTGGAATCTATGTCCAAATGTCGCCTTTCACAGAATAGAGAAACAAACAAACCAACTATATAATGATGGGCATGGTTGGACTGATCCCGTTAGTCGCCTCTAATGACAAGCACGGGTTACCGAAGACGAATTCTAACCTGGTTCTTCACGTTTCCCTCATGGAACGCAACTCTGCTTAGCCGATTATGGCACCTAAGACATAGAGTCCAACCATGCCCCTCATTATAGGGATTAGCATCTGGCTACATGATCAATAAGAAAATAGTGATTGAATCGGACAGTAACTTTTATTCAAGACATTCGGATGACTTGGCTTTAATGTAATCTAAACTTTTACAAGAAGCGTTATATTGGACAATTGTTGCCTTGACTTTGATCTCATGATTATGGAGTTTTGGAAAGAATTAGTCCAACTGATATCTGAACAAAGGGAGGCAACTGACCTATCATAGTCGAGATCATCTGGTAGGAGGAGTTCCTCATCCTGCCTCACCTCCTCCATCTCCTCCAGCTGGTCCTTCAGCTCATTCACGTACATGGCTGACAAATAAAGCAGTAGGAATCAAAGTGAGTGAGTAAGTGAGTATGATTTTACGTTGATTTTAGCAATATTCCAGCAATATCACAGCGGGGATCACCAGAAATGGGCTTCACACATTGTACCCATGTGGGGAATTGAACCCTGGTCTTTGGTGTGACGAGCGAACACTTTAATCACTAGGCTACCCCACCGCCCCAGTAGGATTCAAAGGGTGAGATAGTGCATTTGTGATCTCATGGACAAATAACACATCAAGGAGATTACAGAGGCAGAGAATGTATTGGTGGTCAAAAGGGCAAATACTACATCATCGATCTGGAGGAAAAATACTGTGTCAGAGAACCAAATATTATACCAAGGATCCGAGGGACACACAATGCATTGGGATGATCAGATTAGGTAAAGATTCAGCATTGGGGATGAGAAGGAAAGATTCAGCATTGGGATCAGAAGGACAGATTCAGTATTGAGAATCAGAAGGGCTGATTCAGCATTGGGATCAGAAGGACAGATTCAGTATTGAGAATCAGAAGGGCGGATTCAGCATTGGAATCAGAAGGACAGATTCAGCATTGGAATCAGAAGGACAGATTCAGTATTGAGAATCAGAAGGGCTGATTCAGCATTGGGATCAGAAGGACAGATTCAGCATTGGAATCAGAAGGACAGATTCAGTATTGAGAATCAGAAGGGCGGATTCAGCATTGGAATCAGAAGGACAGATTTAGATTCAGCATTGGAATCAGAAGGGACAGATTCAGTATTGAGAATCAGAAGGGCTGATTCAGCATTGGGGATGAGAAGGAAAGATTCAGCATTGGGGATCAGAAGGACAGATTCAGTATTGAGAATCAGAAGGGCTAATTCAGCATTGGGATCAGAAGGACAGATTCAGTATTGAGAATCAGAAGGGCTGATTCAGCATTGGGATCAGAAGGACAGATTCAGTATTGAGAATCAGAAGGGCTGATTCAGCATTGGGATCAGAAGGACAGATTCAGTATTGAGGCTCAGAAGGACAGATTCAGCATTGGGGATCAGAAGGACTGATTCAGTATTGGGGATCAGATGGCTGATTCAGCATTGAGGCTTAGAAGGACAGATTCAGTATTGGGGATCAGAAGGACTGATTCAGTATTGGGGATCAGAAGGACTGATTCAGCATTGGGGATCAAAGGGTGGATTCAGCATTGAGGGAATTTAGAAGGACAGATTCAGCATTGGGGATCAGAAGGACAGATTCAGTATTGGGGATCAGAAGGACTGATTCAGCATTGGGGATCAGAAGGACAGATTCAGTATTGAGGCTCAGAAGGACAGATTCAGCATTGGGGATCAGAAGGACTGATTCAGTATTGGGGATCAGAAGGGCAGATTCAGCATTGAGGATTAGAAGGACAGATTCAGTATTGGGGATCAGAAGGGCTGATTCAGTATTGGGGGATCAGAAGGGCTGATTCAGTATTGGGGATCAGAAGGGCAGATTCAGCATTGGAGATCAGAAGGCAGATTCAGCATTGAGGCTTAGAAGGACAGATTCAGTATTGGGGATCAGAAGGGCTGATTCAGTATTGGGGATCAGAAGGGCAGATTCAGCATTGGGGATCAGAAGGGCAGATTCAGCATTGGGGACAGAAGGAAAGATTCAAAACAGCTTTTAGAAGGAGAGGTACCTTACAAAAATATATAATCGCTAGGAACTGCCTGTGCTTCTGTACACTACCTTCAGTCTTTAGCCTCTGTTTCAGCTCCGTGTCATCATGCAGGAAGCCGAGGACCTCTGGGAACACGTGGATCAGCTGCTCGACAGTGATGTAGGGCAGACTCAGGACCTCCACACCACTGTACAGATATATTGGTTGCTGGTTATGAGGTCGGGTTTAATAGAGTTGAACATTATTGCACTTATGCTTGAGGTGAACAAATTGAGAGGTGGGCAAAGGCTAAAGCCAAGTTTGGGGTTTCAGGCAATATTAAATTGTGGTTGTCAAAAATGCATTCTGCATAATCCTTTGGAGTTTGTAATAAATGTATGTCAGTTTTACACATTCTCTAGGATTCCAAAAAGTTTTATCTTCAGGCCCCAGAGCGTTAAGGACTTTGCCCTGTCACTGACAAACAGGGGATGAAACGTAGTGGCTCTTTAACCAAGTGACTTTGTGACTTTGCTACTGGCTACCCGGTAGTAACATCTAGAGCTCCTCAGACAGCATTGGCTGTACACTCCCCACAGAGATAAGAAAGCAACTTGAATTGACAGTATTTTCTTAACCTGAGTAACAATTACCATCAACTATAAAAGAGTGTTTGAAAACATTACTGAGAGTGTAGAATGGGCTAAATGATACTTCAAACAATATTTCAGTTATATAGGCCTGATGCTGGATGAGTGAGTGAGTGAGTAAGGTTTTACTCCACTTTTACCAATATCCTAGAAATATCACACGTGAAATGGACTTCATACATTTTACTCATCTGGGGAATCGAACCCAGGTCTTTACTGTAATGAGGTAAAGCTTTAACCAGTGGGCTACACCATTGTCCCTGATGGCTGATGAAATTCCTGAACTGATGCAGATCTTGGATGTTTACAACTTGTTGACTCTATGACACAGATTTGGTGCTGACAAACCTTAGAAAGGGCAAACTGGGATTTGAACTCACAATTCTTGCATGCTCAAAATAATCAACAACCTTTTGTTGAGAACAGGCTAAACATTAACTGAATTCCACTTTAATAAATACCTTTACTATAAACGTTTCTTACTTTCTGTCATTCCTGTTGTTGGTTGATGGCAGGTTGAGGAGCTTGAACCAGTGTGTCAAGGGCATCGTCAGGGACGACAACGCTGATACAGCTTCTTCCAGCTCCAGACGTGATGATTCCGATCTCCGGAATCTGACCTCTCTGACACAGCCAACCTTGTAACCTGCAGTTAATGATTGTGCATTCAATCATTTAATTTCATTTCATTTAATTTCATTTCATTCGTTCGTTCATTCGTTCGTTCGTACGTATGGTTTTATGCCACTTTTAGCAATATTCCAGCAATATCACGGTGGGAACACCAGAAATGTCCTCCACACATTGTACCCATGTGGGGAATTGAACCCGGGTCTTGGATGTGACAAGCCAACGCTTTAACCACTAGGCTACCCAACCGCCCTGTATACATTCAATACTCTGTGAATACAAATCATTGCTGGTTTGTTCACATCAATATACCAGCTGTATGGCGGCGGCCTGTAAATAATCTAGTCTGGACCAGACAATCCTGTGATTGATAATGTGAGCAGGGTCCAATAACACACTACATATATACATAGAGTTAAATAGCATACATAGTCCTATTTGCCCTTGTAGCTCTTTAATTTCTGAGGAGATGATAAACTTAACATTTGAAGATATATTTTTTCAATTCTACAAATTACCTGAATGTTGCCATACCAACAGTTATATTACGGCAGTACACATCTGTAAAATGTTTCTAATCCAAGGGACTTGATGTTTCTGGGAAAAGCATTCTGTCAGATTTAGTATTAATATTTTCTTTTATTACCTACGAGTGCGAAAATATCGGGGTTCATATTTTTCATACGATGCCCTAGGCCAAAATATGACTTTGTCATGGTGACGTCACAATATGACCAATGCTATGACATCACGTTTCATCTGTGACGTTGACTTCTACATGTGGGGACGGCGGGTAGCCTGCCTATGTTTGAAAGTAGATTTTGGTTTATTTACCTCAATTTGACGACTTCGTAATAAACAGAATATTACATTCGTGCCCATATCAATGCTCGGGAAATACAAACATTTAGGTACTCGTGTCATAAACATAGTATGACATGGGCAGTCATAGAATATTCTCTATACTAGATTCCATTTTAAAGGAATTTACTGGCATGAACAATGTTTCACATTCTCAGGCTATTCCCTGCCGTGATGTTGCTGGAAAATTGCTAAAAGCGACGTTAAGCTAAACTCACTCACTCATGCTTACTCAGCAACATAACATCTCAACACTTAATCACCTATGCAATAACAACTCGCTCTTATCTCTCACTCACAAAAAACACAACACAACTCTGTCACTCACCAACCCATGACACTCACATATTCACTTAACAAAATTTAAAAAATCACCTTTTCTTGTGAGCCTGGTGTCAGCATTATCTGGTCTGAGAGCAAGGCGGAACTCAGCTCTGCTTGTGAACATTCGGTATGGTTCATTGGTTCCTAGTGTTGTCAAGTCATCGATCAGCACCCCAATGTATGCTTCAGTCCGGTCCAGTGTGAAGGCAGACTTGTCTTGAGCCTTCAGTGCAGCGTTGATCCCTGCCATGATGCCCTTGAAGACACAGAGCAGAGAACTGAACAACTGACAGAACAGTGTTGTGGAAATGACTGTTGTACAGTCAGGTACTAATGGGGTATCCTGGGTATTATACACAGGCGGAAACCCAGTTAACGCAAGTAAGAACACAGATTTCTACAATGGGTATATTTGGGTACACCTGTTCATGTGACCCCAATTGATTGCAAACAGAGCACTAACTGGTGATAAAACATTTTTACATTGAAACAGAACACTCACCTGTGTTGCAGCCTCTCCTCATCAGGACAGAACATTCACCTGTGTTGCTGCCTCTCCTCATCAGGACAGAACAGTCACCTGTGTTACAGCCTCACCTCATCAGGACAGAGCACTCACCTGTGTTGCAGCCTCACCTCATCAGAGACCAAACACTCACCTGTGTTGCATCCTCTCCTCATCAGAGACTAAACACTCACCTGTATTGCAGCCTCTCCTCATCAGAGACCAAACACTCACCTGTGTTGCACCCTCTCCTCATCAGACACTAAACATTCACCTGTATTGCAGCCTCTCCTCATCAGAGACCAAACACTCACCTGTGTTGCAGCCTCTCCTCATCAGGACAGAACACTCACCTGTGTTGCAGCCTCACCTCACCTAATCAGGACCAAACACTCACCTGTGTTACAGCCCTCTCCTCATCAGGACAGAACATTCACCTGTGTTGCTGCCTCCTCCTCATCAGGACCAAACACTCACCTGTGTTGCAGCCTCTCCTCATCAGGACAGAACACTCACCTGTGTTGCAGCCTCACCTCATCAGGGACCAAACACTCACCTGTGTTGCAGCCTCTCCTCATCAGGACAGAACATTCACCAGTGTTGCAGCCTCACCTCATCAGAGACCAAACACTCACCTGTGTTGCAGCCTCACCTCATCAGGGACCAAACACTCACCTGAGCAGCAGCCTCTTCATATCCAGTTGTTCCGTTGATCTGGCCGGCCAGGAAGAGGTTCTGGATGAGGAGGGTCTCAAGAGAGGGACTCAGCTGACGTGGGTCAATGTAATCATACTCCACACCATAACCTGAAACATGATAACAAGCTGGACTGAAACAGGGTAAATATAGAACTGAAACATGGAGACATACAGAACTGTGAAATACACTCATGGAAATGAATAAGGGAAAACATGAAAGTACAAGTGCTCCTTTATTTATTCCAGAATTTCACTCACATTGCAATACAAAGCATACGAAGAAGCCTGGAAAAGAGTAGAGGAACACTTGTACTTTCATGTGTTCCCCTATCAGCTTCCATGAGATTAGGTGATGTTAACTCCAATATTTTAACATAGACAAGAGTATTGCAGCTCTACAATCGCTTAGTGGAAGGGTGCCCTGAACTGAAACATACAAACGTCTTGAACTGAACGACTACATACCTGGCTGAACTATGTTGCATTTCTCCAATCCTGGGATAGATCGGACAAGACGTACTTGGTGTTCTTCTGGCATTGTGCAGGATATTCCATTGGGGTACACCACACTGCTGGAGAACCCTGAAACAACAGTAACACAGTCAGGATATACCATTGGGGTACACCACTCTGCTGGAGAACCCTGAAACAACAGTAACACAGTCAGGATATACCATTGGGGTACACCACGCTGCTGGAGAACCCTGAAACAACAGTAACACAGTCAGGATATACCATTGAGGTACACCACGCTGCTGGAGAACCCTGAAACAACAGTAACACAGTCAGGATATATCATTAGGGTATACCACGCTGCTGGAGAACTCTGAAACAACAGTAACACAGTCAGGATATATCATTGGGGTATACCACGCTGCTGGAGAACCCTGAAACAACAGTAACACAGTCAGGATATACCATTGGGATATACCACGCTGCTGGAGAACCCTGAAAAAATAGTAACACAGTCAGGATATACCATTGGGGTACACCACGCCGCTGGAGAACCCTGAAACAACAGTTACACAGTCAGGATATACCATTGGGGTACACCACGCTGCTGGAGAACACTGAAAAATAGTAACACAGTCAGGATATACCATTGGGGTACACCACACTGCTTGAGAACCCTGAAACAACAGTTACACAGTCAGGATATACCACTGGGGTACACCACGCTGCTGGAGAACCCTGAAACAACAGTAACACAGTCAGGATATATCATTGGGGTATACCACACTGCTGGAGAACCCTGAAACAACAGTAACACAGTCAGGATATACCATTGGGGTATACCACGCTGCTGGAGAACCCTGAAACAACAGTAACACAGTCAGGATATATCATTGGGGTATACCACGCTGCTGGAGAACCCTGAAACAACAGTAACACAGTCAGGATATATCATTGGGGTATACCACGCTGCTGGAGAACCCTGAAACAACAGTAACACAGTCAGGATATATCATTGGGGTATACCACGCTGCTGGAGAACTCTGAAACAACAATAACACAGTCAGGATATACCATTGGGGTACACCACTCTGCTGGAGAACCCTGAATCAACAGTAACACAGTCAGGATATATCATTGGGGTATACCACGCTGCTGGAGAACTCTGAAACAACAGTAACACAGTCAGGATATATCATTGGGGTATACCACGCTGCTGGAGAACCCTGAAACAACAGTAACACAGTCAGGATATACCATTGGGGTACACCACTCTGCTGGAGAACCCTGAAACAACAGTAACACAGTCAGGATATACCATTGGGGTATACCACGCTGCTGGAGAACCCTGAAACAACACTTTCACAGTTAGGATGTATCATTTGGGTATACTACACTGCTGGAGAACCCTGAAACAACAGTAACACAGTCAGGATATACCATTGGGGTACACCACGCTGCTGGAAAACCCTGAAACAACAGTAACACAGTCAGGATATACCATTGGGGTACACCACTCTGCTGGAGAACCCTGAAACAACAGTAACACAGTCAGGATATATCATTGGGGTATACCACGCTGCTGGAGAACTCTGAAACAACAGTAACACAGTCAGGATATATCATTGGGGTATACCACACTGCTGGAGAACCCTGAAACAACAGTAACACAGTCAGGATATACCATTGGGGTACACCACGCTGCTGGAGAACCCTGAAACAACAGTAACACAGTCAGGATATATCATTGGGGTATACCACGCTGCTGGAGAACCCTGAAACAACACTATCACAGTTAGGATGTATCATTGGGGTATACTAGACTGCTGGAGAACCCTGAAACAACAGTAACACAGTCAGGATATACCATTGGGGTACACCACGCTGCTGGAGAACCCTGAAACAACAGTAACACAGTCAGGATATATCATTAGGGTATACCACTCTGCTGGAGAACCCTGAAACAACAGTAACACAGTCAGGATATATCATTAGGGTATACCACTCTGCTGGAGAACCCTGAAACAACAGTAACACAGTCAGGATATATCATTGGGGTATACCACTGCTGCTGGAGAACCCTGAAACAACAGTAACACAGTCAGGATGTATCATTGGCGTACACCACACTGCTGGAGAACCCTGAAACAACAGTAGGACAGTCAGGATATACCTTTGTCATAAATCCTAATGATTTCTTGAAAAGTATTTGTTGGTCGTGTATGATATTGGGCAGGGACTATATTGGTAAAAGGGAGGGAACTCTTGCATGCTTCTAATCAGTGCTGAAGTTACATAAAATTCCTTCTGGTGTCAGTTCTTCCAGGACTGTGATGATCTGCTTAACATTGCGAGGAAATCTGTTCTTCGGAAGTATAAATGCTATATTTTTAAAAAGGATCCTTCCACAATTCCAGGGGATTGCAATGTCTACAAAAGTTTCTTTGTTTTAAATTGTTGCATGGTTCTTTGCGGGCAAGTGGACGAAGTCAATATGTTTTACACATGAACCAGCAATGTTTCAACTTCACATGGCACATGCACTGTGTAACTGGACCTTAGAAGATTTTCAGAGGAGATTGGTTGGTTGGTTGGTTCGGTTGATGGTTAGTTGTGTGGGTGTAAGGTTGTGTGGTTGTGTGGTTGGTTGGTTGCTAGATGGTTGGGTGTTTGGTTGTTTGTTGCTGGGTGGTTGGGTGGTTGGTTGGTTGCTGGGTGGTTGGTTGGTTGCTGGGTTGTTGGATTGGGTGGTTGGGTGGCTGGCTGGTTGGTTGGTTGGTTGGGTGGTTGGCTGGGTTGTTGGTAAGGTGGTTGGTTGGTTGGTTGGTTGGTTGGTTGGGTTGATGGTAAGTTGTGTGGCTGTAAGGTTGTGTGGTTGGTTGGTTGCTGTGTGGTTAGGTGTTTAGTTGGTTGCTGGGTGGTTAGGTGTTTAGTTGGTTGCTGGGTGGTTGGGTGGTTGCTGGGTTGTTGGTAAGGTGGGTGGTTGGGTTGTTGGTAAGTTGGGCGGTTGGGTTTATGGTAAGGTGCTTGGTTGGATGGTTGGGTTGTTGGGTGGTTGGGTAGTTGTGTTTTCCACCCTCAGCAATAGTCCAGCTATATATACATATAAAACAAACAGGTTGCACTACACAAACCAGTTATTGATATAATGAGTAGCAACATGTTGCATTGACAGTCTGACCATCCAATCCACTCTGTTGCCTCATGACAAGCATAGGCTGCTGGGAACTCAACACAGGTTTCTGAGTGGAGATTCTGATTCTCTAACTCAGTAGGATTTATCATACATTAAAAATGTGACAGATTAATGCAAATTCAAATAAGCATTCAATCTAAGAAAATAAACTTAGGAAAAATATCCGTATTGATGGTGTTTGTGTGTTTACTTCATGGCATAAAGAGAAAAAAATGGGTTTTTTTAAATACCTGTATGAAACTGTTTTAGAATGCTGACATCCAATAGGCTCAAGAACATGAGATTCCTTTATATTAATTGGGCAGAAAAACTGGCCCAGGGTCTTACCAGACCCACGATGTAGGGACTATGAGATCTTGATGGAGACATATCTGATCCCAGTGAGAAATATGTCAGATCACAGTGCTTTAAGCCAGCAGGTATGGAGAGTGAGTGAGTATGGTTTTACAATATTCCAGCAATATCACGGTGGGGGACACCAGAAAAGGGCTTCACATATTGTTTCCAAGTGGGGAATCGAACCCGGGTCTTCAGCGTGACAACCGGACACTTAAACCACTGGGCTACCCCACCTGATAAACAAAAGCAAGGATAAAGTTTCTGTACATTATGCTCTTGATACATGTGAATCAATATTGATGTGTGACTTTCTGATGATTCCATTATAAGTTAGCCAGCCTACCTTCAGGTTCTAGCCATACTTGGTGCTGTTTCCTTTTAAATCTCAAAATTTTGGACTCGATGGAGGGACAATATCTGGAAAAGAATAAATATTTGTCAATTTTTGCATAAATTGAAAGTCCATATCTATCAAAATAGGCAGAACTTGTCGGTCTTCTAGTGAAAATAGATCTGAAAGTGAAAATATAGTCTGTATTCTGGTGAAAACAGGTGTGAAAGTGAAAATATCATCAATAGTATGACATTTCCATATCTCGAGGGCTCATAGGTCACTAAAGTTTCACACACAACCCCTGAGTCCATTTCTGTGTTGTAGTCTCCAAGTATCTGCCCTTGATTTCAGCTTGCTAATTTCATTGGCTACCAATCAGAGTTTGCAATACTTTAATTTGCCATCAGGGCCTTCTGCCACCTGCAGGCTTTAAAATCTACAGGCCCTGAATGAAATCTGCAGGCCCATTTATTAAAGTCAAACCAATAAAAACAAAATAGATTACACTGTACACTGACTGACTGAGTTTGGTTTTACGCCGCTTTTAGCAATATTCCAGCAACATCACGGCGGATACACTGTACACAGTTTCACACTGCTTCTACAAATACATAAGCGAAGCCTATGGCTCAGAGAGATGTTTCTATTTGTTAAAGACTGTTGTTGACATTCCTATGCGCAAAGCGCTGAAATACCAGGAAGTGAAACTGGAAGTTATTGTAACATGATGGATCATGGATGATTCCCGAACGTTAATAAAGGAAAAAAAAACAAGGGAAAGATTCTGGTTGAAATAAAGACAGATGATTTACTGAAGGCCACAAGGTCCTGTAAATGTTTGAAACTGTCGGCCCAACACAATAACAACCGGGGCTAGTCCGCTGGACCGGTGAATATATCGAATGATGGCACCAATGAGAAAGCACCAATTAGTGCACCATTTTGTGACAAAATCCTCAGGAATGGATCGAGAGGCTTACCAAAATGCTAGCCCAAGAGATATTGAGGATGGACTTCTTCTATAATTTACTTTTAGTCTATGATTTTTGGCTCCTTCATTATATATTAGCAATGGAAGGCCATGTTTCCCCAAAACATCAGTTTGCTCTGTAAACACATCACCTCACAGACATTGCCAAATTATGTGAGTTTCAATTTAAAGGTTTCAAATGGCTTTTTAACTTCTTTTAACAGATATATGTTGAACCAAATTTATTTCCAAATACATAAAATATTTATTCATTATGAAAATGCATCCATGAGATCTTCTTTCACAATATTTCAAACATTCCAAAAGAGGTCTTGTGTTTCATCCATTCTACCAATGCCATATTTGGGTAAAACAGGTATGGCAATCATAGGGAAAATGAGTGGCATTATGGGAAACTGTCTGGCATTATGGGAAACTGTTTGGAAACTGTCTGGCATCATGGTAAATCAATATTTAAAGCATATTTCTCTTAATTAACTGAAATATTGGTTAGATAATCTTACATCATTACACCATCCCTTGCAACAATGACCTTTAATATGCATTGTTAAATGTTGTTGTGGAAATTCAAGTAAAGTTTTCTTTCCATTTTGCATGAAAACATTTTGATACAATCATCTGTCTCATGCGCATCCGTGTGTCTGTTAATCTTCTGAAAGGAACTTCACCTGCTGCTAGTTACTTAGCTTCGTCTATACACTAACTGGCTAACTTCTCTTCCAAGGATGTTTCTGCGTCCTTTGCAAAACACACTGCCACAGGTGTTTCCTGCACGCTGTGTTTTGTTACTTAATGGCATGAAAACTCCACACACGAACTGTTCATAAGCTCTGGTGGCACGCCATGGCAAATATCAAGCTGGAGCATTTACTAATGCGAAGCATTTACTGAAATAGGATACTCCTGCACACTTTTTACAGCTCATCATGGGTTATGCTGCTTTCCTTCCACCCACTCTTCACTTCCGTATAATCATTGTTATCTATGGCAAAATACAGTGAGAAGTCATGGGTTGGGAGCCACCTGATGTCTGAGACACCATGTCCACTAGAGGTAGGTTTTAGGAAAATAGTATCTGTGTTTACACATCGTAAGACTGTCTGACTATTTAAAGGCAGCCTGACCTGACCAGGTGATTGGATCCTTGGGTGGAGGATCTAAAGACCTACAGTAATAGTTGAAGATTATTACATCAGTCACAGATTAGAGCAAAATAAATTAATTACATTTTAAATCCATTGGGTGAAAATTAAGAAGCAGGTTCTTTATGGTTTTTGTCTCATATTACTTTTTTGATAAATTGTGAGACATAGTTGTGTACATTTATCATAAATGGATCTACAGATTTATACTAAGAATAAATGTTTGTAAATGTATTTAGTATTTTTGTCAAGAATGGAAAGAACAGAACAATGATTTCCATTATCTTTAGTTATGTACTAAGATAATGATAAAATAATAGGATATATGACATGAGAGCATTATGAAATTAATTTACTATGCCCAAGCAATTATCAGTTATGATTTAATGCTGTTTTTCACTGATTTAAACACTGATTAACTGTTTGCTTTGAACATGAATACCCTTGAAGATCTGGGTTATAATTGGTCTTCAAAAACCCATGCTTGTCGTAAAAGGCGACAAACAGGACCGGAAGGTCAGGCTCAATGACTTGGTTGACACATGTCATTATATCCCAGTTGCAAGGATCAATGCTCATGCTGTTGATCACTGGTTCAGAATCAATTATTTACAGACCGCCTCCGTATAGCTAGAATATTGCTGGGTGCTTTGTTAAACAACAAACAAACCAGACCATGGCAGTGAACATCAAGTACCAAACACAACTTTCTTTTTTGAAAAATTATTTTGATGGCATGTTAAATTTCACAAAAATGCAACATAACGTTCTTCTAAAGGGAAAAAAAGACCGATAATCCCACACTTTCAGTGTTCCAACTTAGGAACTGGGTCAACAGCTGAACTGATCAAATCTTTATATAAACAGATCGGCTAAGGGGTCCCTTTGTCTCGATAGTTACTCTATCAAACTACGGATGTTCAAAGCTGAAAATAACCACAGCCTACTAAACCACTGACTATCCTCCAGAGATGTTCCTGTGAGGTGTTCTGTTGGGGGAACAGCCTCTTAGTATTCTTTCAGGGAAGCAGTGCTGGCCTTTTGTTAGAAGGAAATTAAATAATTACTACATACAATGCATGAAACATTATTTTATCAAAACATATTTTTATCTCTGTGACGGAATTTTTTAAGGACATACAGCGCATCATACAATTTAATTTAAAATGGTATAATTAGATATGTTATGCTATGTAAATACAAATTTGATTTATTAGACACAGTTCTGTGTCTTGTATCCCTATTTAAGGAAACCAATCATGCCCGGTTAGATTTTGTCTTCAGCAACCCATGCATGTCACCCATGAAGATCCGGGTTAGAATTGGTCTTCAGCAACCTGTGTGTGTTACCCATGAAGATCCAGGTTAGAATTGGTCTTCAGCAACCTATGCATGTCACCCATGAAGATTGGGTTAGAATTGGTCTTCACCAACCTGTGCGTGTCACCCATGAAGATTGGGTTAGAATTGGTCTGCACCAACCTGTGCATGTCACCCATGAAGATCGGGTTAGAATTGGTCTTCACCAACCTGTGCATGTCACCCATGAAGATCTGGGTTAGAATTGGTCTGCACCAACCTGTGCGTGTCACCCATGAAGATCGGGTTAGAATTAGTCTTCACCAACCTATGCGTGTCAGCCATGAAGATCCGGGTTAGAATTGGTTTTCAGCAACCCATGCGTGTCAGCCATGAAGATCCGGGTTAGAATTGGTTTTCAGCAACCTGTGTGTGTCACGCATTAAGATCCGGGTTAGAATTGGTCTTCACCAACCCATGTGTGTCACCCATGAAGATCCAGGTTAGAATTGGTCTTCACCAACCTATGCGTGTCACCCATGAAGATCCGGGTTAGAATTAGTCTTCACCAACCCATGCGTGTCACCCATGAAGATCCAGGTTAGAATTAGTCTTCACCAACCTATGCGTGTCACCCATGAAGATCCGGGTTAGAATCGGTCTTCACCAACCTATGCTTTTCCTAAGAGGCGACTAATGAGATTGGCTGGTCAGGCTCGCTGACTTGGTTGACATGTCATCTCAATGGCGTAGATCGATGTCCATGCTGTTAATCATTGGATTGTCTGGTCCAGATTCGACTATTTTAAGGCCGAAACCATAAAGTTGGAATATTGCTGAGTGTGCCAATAAGCAACAAACAAACAACTCGAAGGGACATATGCACATTCACGTTATGATCTCTGGGGTTCAAGGTTTCTCTTTCCACTTATATTTAAGGTATTGGGGAGATTCCTTGAAAATACAACGACCAGTGTTTGGGGGTTAAGTTATAAATACTTGTCATCTGCAGTTAACCTAAAGGGCTCAACACAAGTACTAATCAGAGGCCAGCACTGGTGTAGTGGTACAGATATACTGATAGAGAGATGTAGATCACAGGACTGTCTGTTCCAAATTCTGGTTTACAGACCGCCGCCATAGAGCTGGATTTATATAATTGATAGTGCAGCATTAAACAACAAACAGATAGACAGATAGTTCTGTGTATCATTGAAAGATAAAACATTTCTATAAAAAGTGGATTAGTATGTATTTTCTGGAACAAATTTGAAATTTATAAAATTTCTCTCTCAGATAGTAAATAAAAACTATGGGGTAAATTATTCCATTTATTATATATATTATCAAGTTGAGAAAGAGTTGAGAATAATTTTGCAGTCTTAGCTGGCAAGGCCATCAAGACGATCAATTAGTTTGTGATGAGCATGACTTAGCCATATGTTGCTACATACTCCCACACAGTAATGGGTGACTCAGCACCAAAACAGGGCGGTGGGGTAGCCTAGTGGTTAATGCGTTCACTCATCACACCGAAAACCCGGGTTTGATTCCCCACATTGGTACAATGTGTGAAGCCAATTTCTGGTGCCTCCCGCCGTGATAAGGGTAAGGGTAAGACAGGGCAAGGGTAAGACAGGGCAAGGGTAAG